AACCTATTCCTTGTTCAGTAACATGCTATTTAGCCTCCATGCTTCCAAATGTATTTGCATGTTCTTGTTGCAATTGATTTCTAGTTTCATGCCATTGTGATCTGAGAAGATGCCCGATATGATTTCAATCTTCTTGAACTTGTAGAGATGTAGTCTGCACCGTAACATGTGGTCTATCTTTGAGAATGTCCCATGTGCACTTGACAGGAATGTGAATTCTGCAGTTTGGGAGTGTAATTCTCTGTAGATATCTATTAAATCCATTTGATCTAGTTTTCTTTTCGTGTCTCTGTTTCCTTGTTAATGTTTAGTCTAGAGGATCTATCCAGTGATGTCAGTGGAGGGTCTAAGTCCCCTGCTATAACTGTATTGCTGTCGATTTCTCCTTTGTAATATATGTTGGTGCTCCTATATTGGGTGCATATATGTTTACCAAGGATACATCTTCCTGGTGGATAGATCCTTTCAATATTATGTAGTGGCCTTCTTTGTCTCTAGTTATAGCCTTCATTTTTAAATCTAATTTATCAGTTATGAGTATTGCTACCCCAGCTTTTTTTCCCTTTCTGTTTGCTTAGAAGATTGTTTTCCATCCCTTTACTTTCAACCTATGTGAGTCTTTTTTTGTGAGGTGGGTCTCTTGTAAACAATATATATGTGAGTCATGCTTTTGTATCCAGTCAGCTACTGTGTATTTTTATTGGAGCATTCAATCCATTTACATTTAAGGTGATTATTGATATGTATGTATTAATTGCCATTTTTGTTTACTGTGGTTATATTTTTATTCCCCTTTCTTCTAATTACAGGAGTCCTTTTAACATTTCTTGCAGTACTGGTTTGGTGCTAATGTATTCCTTTAGCCTTTTTTTTTGTCTGGGAAGTTCTTTATTTGAACTTGTATTTTGAATGATAGCCTTGCTGGATAGAGTAGTCTTGGATTCAGATCCTTGTTTTTCATGACCTTGATTACTTCACGCCACTGCCTTCTGGCCTGTAGTGTTTCTGTTGAGAAGTTATCTGATAGTCTTTTGGGGGTTCCTTTGTAGTAAGTAACCTGTTGCTTATCTCTTGTTGCCTTTACAGTTCTCTCTTTGTCTTTAATTTTTGGCAATTTAATTATTATGTGTCTTGGTGTGGGCCTGTTTAAGTTCTTCTTTCTTGGGTTTCTCTGTGTTTGTTGAACTTGAATGCCTTCTTCCTTCACCAAGTTAGGAAAGTTTTCTGTTCCTATTTTTTTCAACTATATTCTCTAATTCTTGCCCATTTTCTTCTTATTCAGGGACTCCTATGATGTGAATGTTATTACAGTTCCAGTTGTCCCACAGTTCTCTTAAGCTGTCTTCCTGTTTTTTAATTGTTTTTTCCTTTTCATTTTCGGTTGGTTGATTTTTTCTACCTGTCTTCCAGTTCACTGATCTCGTCCCAGCTTTCTCTACTCTGCTGATTAGTCCTTCCAATGTTCTTTATTTCTGGTATGTCATTCTTCATTTACACTTGGTTGGTTTTCAGTGTTCCCATATCTTTACTCATGGTGTTGATGTCGTTACTCATGCTGTTGAGCTTCGTCAAGATCATGGCTCTGAACTGTACTTCTGATAATTTGCTTAGCTGCATTTCATTTATCATATCTTTGGTAGAGTTCTCATTCTTTTGGGATTTGTTTCTTTTTCCCATCATTTTGGCTATCTCAGTGTGTTTTGGAGCCTGCCAAATTTTCCCTGTGGGTGTTGGTGTTCTGCTGTTTGTGGCTCCCTATACTGGGTTTGGATGAGCCTGGGAGGGCCCACGTTAAACACCACTGTCAAGTCATACTTTCCTGGGTAGATTTGCAAGAATCTAGGAAAGTTTCAGTTATCCTCTAGCTTTTTGCTTGGTGGCTATCAGTCTGAGTTATGCAGGGCCTTGGGATGTAGCCCTCAGGTGTTCTGCATAACAGGATTTCCAGAGTAGGGCAGATAATGGTTGTTAATGAGCTTCAATCTGCATTTATTTGGCTCACCTGGATGAGGTTGAATATTCAAGGGAGGGGCTGCTGTTTCTCCTGGCACCTCCAGGAAGGAGCAAGCTGGCCACCATCCTTTGTGGCCACAACAGCAAAAACTCTGAGTGCCCTCCAAATCCCCGGGTGTTCCCACAGAGTTTCAGTCCAGTCTGCCCTCCCTCTGCAGGAGCCCAAGGTGAGTGGCTGTAGCCAATGTAGTGCTGTGTCCTGGCCCTCTGTGCTGTGGAGCCAGCTTGAGATTTTAATCTCGAGGGCACTGCTCACTGCTAAGACTGCTGCTGTTTGTGGGCTCCCAGCCCACCACCCTCTCACGACTCCATAGATCCTACCAGTGTCCCTGCTTATATGGTCCCCTCCCGCTGCTTTTCTGTTTCTTTTGTTTGACGATTTGTCTTTATTTTAGTTGTAATTCCCGTTTGGTCCTGAGAGATTGTCTGTGTGGCTTCCATTCATTCCATCACCATTTTTTCTCTCAATACTATATGAAATTCTTTATTAAAAGATTTATGTTTTCCCTGACCAGTTTGGCTCAGCAGTAAGAACGTCACCCCACAGACCAACGAGTTGCGAGTTCAATACCAGTTAAGGGAACATACCTCAGTTGTGGTTTAGTTCCTAGCACTGGTTGGGTCATGTGGGAGGCAACCAATTGCTGTGTCTCTGTCACACTGATGCTTTTCTCTTTCTTTCCCTCCTTTCCACTCTATCTAAAGATAAATGGAAAAATATCCTCAGGAGAGGATTAAAAACAAAAACAAAAAAAGATGAAATATTTATGTATATAGAATATCACACCAATGTGCAATAGAGATAAACAATATATATATATCTCAATGGAACAGTAGAGAAAATGAAAATAGACTTGTACATACATGGTCAATTGATTTTCAGTGAAAGTACCAATGTAAATCACTGGGAAAAAATAATATTTCAACAAAAGATTTCTGGAACTACTGAATACCCACATGCAAAACAACCCTTATGTCACACCATAAAATTTTATTTCAAAATAGGTCACAGACTTCAATGTAAAATTCAAAATTATAAAAATTAGGAGAAAATCTAATGAACTTGAGTTTGGCAAAAACTGCTTAAATATGACAAAAAAGCAAGAAATAAAAGAGGCAAAATTAATACACTGGACTTGATAAAAATTAAAAACATCTGGCCTTTCCAGTGGTTGCTTGGTGGTTAGAATGCAGCCTGTGGAGCAAAAGGTTGTGGGTTCAATTCCCAGTCAAGGGCAATTCCCTGAGTTGCAGGTTCATCCCTAGCCCCTATCAGGGCACCTGCAGGAGGCAACAAATCTATACCTCCCCCCCTCTCTCACTCTGTCTCCCCTCCCCCTATCCTCCCTCCCACTCTCTCTAAAAAATAAGTGAATGGAAAAAATATCCTTGCCCGGCTGGTGTGGCTCAGTGGATTGACCATCATCCCATGGACTGAGAGGTCCCGATTCGATTCTCAGTCATGGCACATGCCCAGGTTGTGGGCTCAAACCCCAGTAGGGGTTGTGCAGGAGGCAGCCAACTGATGTTTCTATCTCTCTCTCTAAAAAAAACCAAAAATCCATGAAAACTAATTTAAAAAAGAAAAAATATCCCTGATTGAGGATTAACAACAACAAAAAAATAAAGCATACATATATTCTCCAAAGGATACTATTAAGAGAATAAAGCAATACTTCTTTATATAATTTAAATACAATAAACACATAGATACATGTTTTTCTAAATAATTTTATTTGCAATAACCAAAAATGGGGATAGGTAACTAGATAAACAAATTGTAGTGTGTCTACACCCCACCAAATAGTTAAAAAACAGTTAACTTTGAGAGAACTGCCAAAACATAAATAAATCTCAAAAATATTATGAGAAGCAAAAGAAACCATAGATAAAAGAGTTCACATGAAACTCAAGACAAATATAATCTATTATGACAGATAGCAGATCAGTGGTTTCCTGTGAGCTAAGGTTTGTGGGAAGTGGGGAAGGAGGCCTGATCTGAATGGGAGAAAGGGGAACTTTCAGGGGCATAGAAATGTTATATATCTTCACTTTGGTGTTGGTTTTATAGGAGTATAAATCTGTCAAAATGTATATATATACATATATATATATATATATATATATATATATATATATATATATTTAATATATATATATATATTTTATTAAGTATAAACTAAACCTCAAAGGATTTTTTTTAAAAGAAGCAATGATAATCTAGGAAATTAGTAATAAGATGAATAGCACTGGGGGGAGGGAGGACAAGCAAGCAAAATTCAACACCCAATCAATCAAGACAAAAATTCTCAATCTAGAAAGCAACTTCTTCAACCAAAAAAGGGCATCTGCAAAAATGTGCCACTAATATTACACTTAATGGTGGAAGACTGAATGCTTCCCTAAACAGAAACAAGGTAAGAATATCCATTCTCACTCTGTAAGCATGACCACACTTCAAAGAAATCCTCAGTAGTACCCAGTATTACTCAACTATATTTTGCTGGTAAATTTGCTTTTTTCTTCTCTGAATGATCATTTCATCTCATATTATATTTTTCACAAGGTAAATCAATCATACAAACTCTTTCGTGTTCCTACCATCAAATCTTTCAAGAAGAAAGTGGCTCTATCCTGGCCATCATCACTCAAAACAGACCCAGTTATCTTGCCAGCTTAATATTCAACCAAAACTTGGAGCGCAAACATAGGTCTTAACCTAGAAACTCTAGGTAACTGATATTCTTCTATCAATAAATCCTACAATCAAACACAACAAATCCTACAACAAAATCCTACATGGTCACCCTGTCATAAAGCCATATAAGAAGCCAAAGATAATTTAATCACCAACCTTTAGTTCTCCATCTTTGAGAATGCTTCTTGCTGTTATATATATCAACTACATTTGGTTTCTGACCAACAAACATAATAGGAAAAGAAAAACGCAAAATGCATATGCAACTTGCACAGTATGTGTTCCTTACCTGCTGGTGCCGGGTGTTGGGAAAAGTGTACTGAACAGAGTGGGAAGGATAACGACTTTGTTCTGTGCTGAATGCTCCTTGGTTGGGAGGATAACCTGAACTTGACATTATCAGTAAAGAAGTCCTCACGAGGCTGTGAGATCAAGTCGAACAAACAATCATGTTTCTAGGAAACTACCTAAACAGAATGGGAAAAAATAGAACTGATAAGAACTAAAGCACCAGGTGTACTTCTAATAAATTATAACGATAGCTACATAAATAAAACCACAATTACCAGTAAAAGCATTCTCTCATGTATTTACTTAATATAATGGAAATTACTGACGTTTAAAAAACATTAACAGGTTTTTCCCTTCATGCTTAAAAAAGTTTTTTTAATATATCACAAATAATATCAGCAGCTATATAAAGTAAAAACATGGGACATGGCACATAGCAACTGCTCAGTAAATGTCTATAAAAGTCTGAGAAACAAATATATATTGCAAAAACAAAAATCTATGATTGTAAATTCTGGGGTGATAAAAAAGTCAATGGTTAAAAGGATTCAAGAGTGTTTATAAGGAAACATTGTTTTTGTTAAATAATCCTGCCCCCAAAATGATAACCTAAGAAGGCACTAAATGGGAAAGCTTTCAAGGAAGAAACAAAGTGAGATTATCACTTCAAAGAAAACAACTGCAGCCCTGGCGATGTGGCTCAGTGGTTAGAGCATCAGCCCACACACCAGTGTTTGGGTTCAATTCCCATTCAAGGGAACGCACCTGGGTTGCAAGTTTGATCCCTGGCCCCAGCTGGGGTGAGTGCAGGAGGCAACCAATAGATGTGTCTCTCTCACATCAATGTTTCTCTCTTTCCCTCCCTCCCTCCCCCAACTCCCTTCTACTCTCTGTAGAAAAAAAAAAATCAATGGAAAATAATATCCTTGGGTGAGGATTAACAACAACAAAAAGACAACTGCCAATATTTGTAAAAATTTGAATTTCGGAAAAACTTGCTTCTGCCACCATGAATTTGACAATGTCCCCACATTCAAAGACTTTTCTGACAAGACTGGTGGTAATGTTAAGTGTGAGTTTTTGATATTATATAATAAAATGTTTCAACATTTGAAATACCTGCATAACTCAATGAATCAATATTTTCCAAATGACTAATACAGAATATTATAAAATAATATGTGAATATTTATTTAAAGCACAAGATATTTTACCACAATAAAGTACATAAAAAACCAATAAATATTTACTGTGACAGAATATAAAAGATTCACTGATACGGTTTCAGATTCTACACGCAACTAATCTTTAAAAATTATCACTTTTCTAGTTTAGGTAAGGTATCAAAAATATACCCTTCCTTTTCCAAATACATTATCTGTATAAGGTTAGCTCTTCTTCATCAACTTCAATCAAAACAACATATTGCAAGACTGAATGTAGAAGCAGATATGAGAATCAAGCTATTTTCTTTTAAGCCAGCTATTAAGAGGTTTGCAAAAATGTAAAATAATGTCATTCTTCTCGATAAATTGTTTTTTGATTTGAGGAAATAGGTATCATAAAAATGTTATATATATATATATATATATATATATATATATAACATTAAGTGAGTTTATATTATTTCTAAATGAATAAATATCTTTATAATTTCCCCCATTTTAATATCTAATGTGGTAAATAAGTATCAACACATATAACCCACATACAAAAAAGCTCTTTGAGTTCTAAATTTTTAAGAGTATAAATGAGTCTGAGATCAAAATGTTTGATGACCACCAGCCTAGAGAACTAGGTCAATCTTTAAACTGACTAGCACTAGTGTCCTACACAGGTTGGTCATGCCCAGGTCCATATGCACACAGTCCTTCTAGAGAACCTACCCCTAGTTAAGGTGTGGTTTTGACATCACGTCTGTATCAAGTGCACTACCCTACAGAACCAGGGATGTACTAATTATATCCCTCTTTAAGAATTTGGAATTGAGAACATGAGCTACAGGAAACTGAATCGCAAAGTGCCCACAGTGGGAGTCAAGATGAACCAAAGATGTAACCACAGAAGTTACAGGGGAAGCAGAGAACACCAACCCAGACACAGACTAGAGGAGACATGCATAGAGAAGAGCCAAGAGAACGCGCAGGCCCCTAAGACACAGCAGCAGTTGCCTTGGCTCCTGACTCGTCACTCCAGGGTCAGCCCCACAAGAGACCACTGTATTTCTTTCCTTGTGCTTGGATACCTGTTGAACTGAACTACAGCCTTATAGTCAGTCCTCCTTTACTAAATATAAGTGGAGTAGGTTTTTATTTCTTAATATCTCAAGTCCCAAAATAACTATACAAACCTTGGAAACAACCCAAGTGTCATTTCCATCAACTGGTGATGAATAAATAAAATCAGGTATACCCATACAAGGAAATATCATTCTGCCATGAAAAAGAATGATGTACTGATACCTGCTATAACTTGGATGAATCCTGAAAACATTATGTTAAGTAAAATAAAGCCAATCATAACAATACACATTTTGTATTTTTCCTTTCATATTAAAGTCCAGAACAGTCAGATCTATAGTTATTGAAAGTAGATTAGTGACTGCTCAGGGATGTTGAGGTGGGGATGAAGAAACAGCAGGTGAAAGCTAAAGTATCTGGGTTTTCAATTATTTTTTCACTGTGGTGAAATACACACAACATAAAATTTACCATATTAGCCTTTTTAAGTGTACATCTCTGTAGCGTCATGTATATTCATATTGTTGTGCAACTATCACTACCATCTATTTCCAGAACTTTTTCATCTCCCCCAATAGAAACTCTAAACCCATTAAACTCTTAACTCCCCATTCCCCCTCCCTATGGCAATCACCATTCTACTCTCTGCCTCTATGAATTTGGCTATTCCTCCTATGAGTGGAATCATACAGTATTTGTCCTTTTGTGACTGGATTATTTCACTTAGCATGTCTTCAAGGCTTACCTATACAATAGCATTAAATCTAAGTTACCCTGCTTTTCAAGGCTAAATAATATAGCTCTGTATTGGAGTTCCTTTCTGAGGTGGTGAAATGTTCTAAAGTTGACTGTAGTGATGCTTGTATATACCTTTGAATATATTCAAAACCACTGCATTGTAAAAAAATAAATAAATCAATGGATTGTATGGTATACAAATTATATCTCAATAAAGCGGTTTTTTAAAAATTACCAAGCCAAAAACAAATAAAACTATACAAAGCCAACCACAGGATTTAGAAATTATTGTGCCACAGTCCAAGATAATATATAACAGATTTCATGGATTTTAATATCCCCCTGTGTTCGTATCTTTCTTTTTTTATCATCACCTGCAGACATTTTTCCATTTTTTGTTCAGATAGAGTGGGAGGGAGGAAAGAGAGAGAGAGAGAGAGAGAGGCATTGACATGAAAGGGACACATAGAGTGGCTGTCACCTGCACAACCCAACCAGGGCCAGGGAAAAACTACAACCAAGGTATGCGCCCTTAGCAGGAACCAAACCCGAATCTCTCTGGACTGCAGGTCAACATTCTAACCGCTGAGCCAAATTGGCCAGGGCCTGTGTTCATATCTTAAAAACTCTGAAGTCAATATGCATCCGACAGCCAATGACACTTTATGGTTTAATTATCAGCACTTTTTTCTTAATCTTAGAGATAAATAACATTATCTTATAAGCAAAGACATCTTTTTGCTGAAATACAGTATTAGAGAGTTACTGTGTCCAGTAAATCTTTGGTTTCTGTCCTAAATCTTCCCCTGAAAAGCTCACAGAACAGAAATTACCATTTGTTTTTCTTCCCTTTGTTCCCTGACCCTTAGGATAAGGCAAGAAAATTAAGGACAATAATATTCTCAAACTGATTTCCAATCTGAGATTTTTTTAAAAGACCAGGTAACATCTGCAGTATTTTGAAAAACGTCTAACAAAAATACATATAAATACTAGGGAAAGAGAAGGGCATCCTAAGCACAAACCAAAAGCACAAATAAGGTTGGTTATTTAACTTAAAAAATATATTTTATTTTTCTGTACAGCAAAGACAACTTTAAATGGCAAGCCACAAAACAGAATAAGTATAATAGCAAAATCTGATAAATCAAATATAATGCTTACAAATCAATAAGAAAAAAAAGATCACAACAGATACTTAACACATGACAAGAATATGGGATTAACAAAGGAAATAAAATTAATAAAGTCACAGTCACAAAATAAAATAAAATAAAATAAAATCACTCCCCAAATTGGCAAAATATTAAAAAATAATGTCTAGTGCTGGTGAGAGTTTGGAATAAGGCATTCCTTTACACACTATTGGTATGTAAAAATGAGTACACAGTGCTTTCTAAAGAAGACTGGCAATATACACCATAAACCTTGAAAATACTCATATTCTCTACCACAGCAGTTCCACTTCTAGGAATTTATTTGATTATTCAATACAGATACCCAAAGATGAATGCCTGAAACTGTTTCTCAAGGAATTGTCTGAAATATTCAATATATGAGCTTAGAAAATTGTTTTTTATAAAGTTTAGCTAATGGAAAATTTTATTTAGAGTATACCACAAAAAGTCTGTATAGATGAGAACATTTTGTTTTATAATGCAAAATTTTTGTATACCATTAGTGTTCAATTTTTCATGTATTTGTCATATCTTCACAAGATTTTAAGACCAAAGACAGAAATGTCATATATTCAACAAATATTTATCGAATAGTACTCACTATGTACCAACACTGTTATAAACAGTGGCACAGAATGGTGACCAAGATATGTCATTTTACCGTGAGGTGACATAGAAAATAAATAATCATGGAGTAATACCATAGGGTGCTATAACTAAAACCGAATGAGACAAGATGGAAGGAGAGACATTTCTGATGGTGTGATCGCTGAAAGCCAACCTCAGCTAGGATGACTGGATGCCCTGATTTCCTGAAATAAACCCAATTTACAGCTGTTGTCTCAGTGCAGTTAAGATGACTTTTGAGCCAAAGCTTGAAAGAGAAGACCAGTTGGCCTGGTAGAGATAAGAGCATTTCATGGAGGACTACAAAAGCCTTAAGGCAAAGCAGGAGGCAGAAGAAAAGTGAAGGGGAGAGGCTGGCCTTGCCTGAGGATGCAGGGGGGAAAGGGGTGGAGG